AGAATGGTTTGGGTTAGAAAGAACTTTAAGATTATCCAGTTCCAGCCCCCCTGCCATGGGCAGGTATGCCTCACCCTAGACCGTGTCGTCGAAGGCTCTGTCCAGCCTGGCCTTGAACACTGCCAGGGGCAGACCATTCATGACTTCCTTGGGCAACCTGTTCCAGTGCCTCACCACCCTCAGAGTAAAATGGGAACAGAGCTCATGTGTTCTCCAGAGGCGGTAGCAAGAATTGGTACCATGTGCAGGGTACTAAGGCAGTGACTGAATTGGTAGGAGGGGAATGTTGAGCACGGGTCGTGGAAGTTTTCCATTTCTCCTGTGGGTTTTGTTGAAGCAGCAAGGTGTGGCTCAGGAGACTTTTGAGTGAAGTGGACATGGCATTTGATGGCTGTTTTTCCTGTGCACCGTAACCTTTTCTAGGTGGAAATAGAGGTCTACAGTGCAGCTGTTATGAACACCTACATTTGTACTATGTCACTGAAAAACACTTTTACACCTTTTCAGCATTCTCTTCTGCATTTCCTCCTCCCTTACCTGCTTCATTCCTAAGTAAAAATTTCAGTGTGCTGTGACAGCAGAATCTTTTAGTGGAACAACAAAGCTTCATAGTATTTGCTTTTCCCATGTGTACGAAAGAAATATGTAAATAAAAGGATTTGGTTGAACAGTGTGGCATGCTTCCACACATAATAGCAGCTGCCTCCTTTCAGATGATACATTTGCCATCTGCTACCTCTTTGTGAATAGCCTGTGCCTTGCATGGACCTTGTGGGGCATCCATGTTGGGGGACAAGAAGTCCTGTTGCTGTACCATGACTTTGCTAAAAGGGTTGCGGTGTAGTTGCATTTCTGCCCACAGTCGAAAGTACTTGTTGCTGTGACTGCGTGTCTGGTAGCCAGCACCTTTCATGCATTGGTGGAAAATTAAGGAGCTCTTGTTTGCAGGCAGGAGCTAACAGCTTTAACTGTAGTGCCGCTCATTTCATGAGGTTAACGGCTTGTGGCTGAGCTTGAGGACCACTCCAGTGCAGCTCTGTGTTGCTTGTATGGATATGCAAGCTGTTTCTGACACTGTTGTGCCTGCTTTTTTCTGTTTGCTGTGATTAACATTGTGATACACTGGGTTGGAGTTCTGAAGATGCTGCTTTTGATTTAAATCGGCACATGGGAGTTCATTCTTGCACAGCTTCTGACTGGTTTGTGAAGCATGGGAGCCTATTATTGGTATTTTCTTAGAAGCAAAATACAGAACAATTCTGTAAGTTTGTTACAGCAGTTAAATGGGTGGTTACAGCAGTTAAATGAGTGGTCAGAGAAGCAGGCACCTAAATTGTGATATATAGTTGGTAATATATTTTACGATGGAATCATTCCATAACATTATGTTGTAAGGCTACTTGGTTTTCTCTTTTAATGTGCCTTATAATAGCTATTGTATTGTCAGGGCACTAACTGTGGTTCAGAATGTCATTTAATTATGTGTGCTGAAAACACTGTGAGGATAGTGGATTGTCAGCATTTAAAAACTTGCAAAGTTGATGTTAGAACTACAAAAGTATTCCTAGGTAGGACTAAGCAAGCAAGCAGAGGTGACTGGGTAGAAATGATAGGGATTGTCTTTGTCAGTGATGGAGGTTATACACTTAGGTGCTAGTGCACACATTATGGTTTTGAGTCCACACATTTGGTCACAGCCACAGGGACAGCTTCGTATTCACAAACAGCTAGGCAGTTTTTTACTGATACCTTCCTATCCAAACCTTAATTATTTAATGAGACTGATAGTGTAGTGTAGGTAGTACTTAGGACTCCCTTTGATGTCTGCTCAGAAACTACGTTCAGTGTAAATCAAGAGATCTGGATCAGCTTTGCTTCTGACTGTGAGCACGTTAAACTTGAAGCTGTTACGGTTACAAAATGCCAAAATTGTTGATCCTGACCTATAAAACTTGAAGAGGGAAGGGTAGTTTCTTGTGGTGTATTTTCACAGAAGCACTGAACTGGATCTTCATTGAGATACCTGATTGGAGAATAAAGCCAGAGGATCTTGATTTATTTCATTTCAGAATTTATGATAGCCTGGTCCTGTCCTTCTTAGTGTTCCGCTCTCTGTTCTCTGATGAAATTACAAGTAGGACAGGTCCTTTAGTTTAGTTATTTCTGTTGTGCTTCCTTTAATGCTGATAATACAACTTAAGTGATATGAATTTTTTTCACTACTGTGAATTTGTGCTAAGTAGGTTAGCCAGTATTCACAGGAAGATTGATATATGTATGTACTTCAAAACAATAAAATCTCACAACCTTTGAACAGAAGTGTTAAAAAAGAAATAAAAAAGCCAGTCCTTAACTGAGCACTCGATTTCCTTAAATCAGATTGAGTACTGTAAAAGAGTTCTTACTGTTTGCTATCAAATTAGTTAATGATATAAAGTTGCACAACACTTCTTCATATAATGTGGAAAACAGGTGAGGATAGCTGGATGAAATATAAGACTTGTGCTTCTAAAAATGAAGTCTTTCAATACCCTTAGGCTGTGTATTGCTTGAATAAAGTGGTTCTGTCTAGTAATTTAATTCTGGTCTCTGGGAAAGTGCAGGGTTTTTTTCATCAACAAGCGTTTTGCATACTGAAATGGTGTCTTAAAAGTTTGTACTTAAGGTTGTATCTGGTTTATTAAAGATGTATTCTAGCTTAGAGGCTTCTTCAGGATATTACTGCCTCTGTTTTCTGCTGTCATTGCTCAATATTGATGTCTTTGCTGCCATGTGTATCTTTACATCAGTTGGTTGTTAAATTCAGTTCTAATACTTATTTCTTAGTGGTACAGAGTAATTTGGGCATTACATTAAGGTGTGCAACCTGTAAAATACAGTTCATTTCCTGTCAGCTTTTTATATTTCAAATGTGCTCAGTGACACTGAATTTAACTGCACTCAGCAGTTAACTATGTATTTCTTATTTCAGAAAACAAACCTTTTCTGAAGTGGAGGAGCAAATAATTTTTAACCCTGTTTCGGCTTTACCAGTGTCTTCTATTAGACTTGACGTAAAACTGTTGAGTGGAAGAGCATCCCATGTGTCTGTCTGTCTGTCTATCTATCTGTCTGTCTGTCTGTCTTGTCTATCTATCTATCCATCTACCTATCTCCTGTTCACTGCTAGAGAAAGTGATTTCCAATATGTGGGATATTCCAATATATCTTGCTGTCACTAGCAAGGAGAATGTCCTTTTTTTTTTTTTCAAAGCTACCAGTCTTAAAATTGGAGCACTCAAGTTTGTACTATATTTGTAAGAAATCCCTTACAGAAAATGTGAATGTTTTGTTGCAAGCAATCTGTGCCTGTTTTCCTAGTATATTTTTTATTAGTAATTTGCATTCTTAATAACAGTCCCACCTCCCTGTTTTGAAAGCATGCCTTTGTCAGTGTAATGCAACGCATCTGTTGATAGAGTTAGGATTATTTCTCTCAAATGTGTGATAAATAAGAACAGATAAGTGGTTAGTGGAACTATTGTTAGTTTTAAATAGGCTTTGTGGAATGTTGGCTTCAACGAGTTTCATGATTAGGAAAGTTCCTGGAATGTTATGAGGTAGAATCTCACCGATGTAATTGGGCCTGCAGTAGCCTTGAGTTGTATGTTGTAGAGACACAGCAGCGCTTTTTCTGGTTTAACTTGTTTTGATCAGGATGAGAAAGAGAAGCAAAGGAGAGCCATACTAGCAAGCACAGAGCTTTGCCAGGGTAAACAGTATCTGTGTTGGTGCTGCTTTTGCTGGTATGAATAGTACTTATTGGTTTGGTCTACCTGGTTTTCATTCTGACAAAAACTCTCAAAGCTTTTATTTCCATTTCGTAAATAAATAAATGCTTCTGGTTAGATTTTATCAACAGCCCAGCTATTCATTTTTTTTTGGAACTGTCATCTTGTGCAGGTTTTGGTATTATTGTGTATATTAGTTCAAAAGGCCATTTGCATCTCTCTACCAAAATGCATTTTTTGTGACTCTTGCAAGACAAACGTGAACTGTCAGAACTAAAAAGCAAATGGTGTGAAGTGGTAATGGATTTATTGTCTAAAACAGTGGCTCAATGGAAGCTGATGTTTTCTTGAGTGTAGAAATTAAAGATTGAATTAAGCATAGCTAGTTGATGGATGCAGAGTCAATAGGTTACTATAGTATGTAGTTCTGGAACATGCTGTGGCTATGAGGGTGATGAGAGCAATGCTTGCCTTTATATTTGAATGGTGCTCACATTGCTGTTGCTTTGGTCTTTTTTCTTTTTTTTTTTTAATAAACCTGATACTTCATCATTTGGGGTAGAATGAGTGTCCTGATAAAAACTGTATATATAAGCTGAGGTAAGGCAAATGAATGCTTAAATGGTAACAGCCTAACCTTTATTTCAGACTTAAGTGTTTCTTTGTCATGTTTTGCAGTCTGTGATTTGCCACACATTTGCACTTGCTTTTAATTGCCATTGTGATTAGGAAAGACTGTTTTGGGCCTAGGTGGTGGTCTGGTGACTGCTGTCACTCCAGTTCAGTGCAGGCTTTGCTACAGCAGCATGTGTGCCAGCCTGGAAACAGGTTGTTACAATTCATTTCTCAGTTTATGCTTTTATAAAGTCCAGCCTGTGTAGGCTTAAAATCAAGTCTTCCAAGTCAGATCACTCACTTCTGGTTCTCTTTGTTTAAAATAAGCAAATTAGGGAGGAAAGAAAACCTCATGGTATGTGGATTGAGAATCCACCCTTGGGGTGGTTCATGCGGAGAAGCAATGTTGGAAAAACTATGCTGCCTTACAAATACTGTTTATTCAAAATAAGTAAACTAGGAGGCTGAGCATGTAAAGATGGGATAACTTTGAATCAAAGCTTTAGAGTTACATCAGTTCTGACTGAAAGCTTTTGGTAGTTTTATAGGTCTATTCTGTTAGAGTATACAAAACCCTGGAGTTCTAAGGACATCCGTTGTTACTCTCTTTTTCAGGTGGTATCATGGAAAACTTGACAGAACAATTGCAGAAGAACGTCTTCGGCAAGCTGGGAAACCTGGAAGTTACCTTATTCGAGAGAGTGATCGGAGACCAGGTTCATTTGTGCTTTCATTCCTTAGTAAAACAAATGTCAATCATTTTAGGTGAGAATTAAATGTTTTCTTTTAAAATACTGTTATCTGCGTTTGGGATTAGAGCACAATAGAGTACAAACAGAAAATAATCATTTTATTATAACTGAATATGTTTAACTTTTTCTTGCATGGTACAGCTTTTACTACTGTTTGTTTCAAGGTATGCTGTTTAACAGTTATTTTATAGGCTAAAGAATAAAAATGTGAGGAAACCCCAACATCTGGCTGTTGAAGTGTATTCAAAGAGGTTGTGAATACGCTTATAACAACTCGTAGGTTTCATTAGTTAGTCAAGGTGCTTGTTTTGAGTCTGTTCCATAGTAGCCATTGTATCTCACAAGACTTAAGTGCTGGCACATGTGGTTGGTTCCTTAATTTTGAGGGAAAACCCTTCCAGAAACCAAAGCCCTCAAAACCCAGGAAGAAATAAGGAGAATTATGTATTTATTCATCTGAAGGTTTGCTGGAAACAACCTCAGTGTGTGCTAGAATTAGTTGTTCTAAATACAAGTAACTCTTTATCCAGTGTCCTAACTAGGATTATTTTATCATTTCCAAACTGTGTACATTAGTAAGTTCATTTATTCTTAGTGTAAATGAGGTGTATTCTAAGAAGAGTTTGAAAGTTAGTCAGCAAATGGAATATGTTCATCTTTACAAAACAGAAAGCAAATCAGAAATCAAATGTTTTTTTGAAAGCAAATGTTGCCTTGATAGCAAGAAGCAAATTCAAAAGCAACTTCTTCAACTTCTGAATGTTGGAATTATACAGAATGCCAACATGAGCCACTATGTTCATGATTTGCAAACATAGGGAGGTTTTGGTTGCATCTGCTATGTGAAGAAATGTGGTTAGAAGTCCTGATGTACCATTAATATGAAACGCATAATCCTCATAAGTGCAAACAATATAGCACAGAAATAGTATCTTGTTTGCATCTTGCTATCTGAGATACGTTTTCAGCTTCTCAGCCTTGGGTTACTATGTAGCAGTAGCAGAAAAGTAAACTGTGCTAATACTTGCTTCCTAGTGCTGTTTTACAGTCCTGGATTAATTTTAATAACTTCCATTGCTAAAAAAATGTCCCTCATACTTTGTTCCCTAAAATTCTTATTTTTCACATGAAACTTTTGTTAGATTTCTATGCAACTGAAATCCCAACATTTTAGATGAAAGTGTCTTAAACTATTTTAGCAGTTTTGGTGCCTCTCAAAAGTTGCATACAGACATATGCTCATGCAGCATATGATTGATTTACAGCATATGAACCTTCAAAACTAAATCTTTTATTCACTGAAGTGTTACCTTTTCAATGAGTCACTGATAGAAAGGATTTTGAATGAAAATAATAATATTTTAATCTTTTCCCTTCCGAATTTTCTGTGATTATGGAAGTCTTTCTGTATTTGCTAGCTCAGTGTTCTGAAGAAGGGTTTCACCTAAGATTGATGAGAAAATAATCTGAAACACTACATTTAATTTAGAACCTAATGTATTGAATAATTTAGCAGGAAATCTCACAGAAAATGTCAAAAGATCTAGCCTATGCACTTAAAGTTACGTTGTTTTCTGACTCCCCTTGCAGTGCTATATGCCTAAAAGCTTTAGATTTTGTCTCTGAAGATTCATCTTTGTAAACATCTTACATCACTGTTTGGAAAAAATAATTAAGTTCAAAGAATTGAGAAGGAGGATTTAACTAGTGTAGTCATTTGGGATGAAGAATAAGTTTCTTAGTAGTATAACATTTGGAATTTCCTCTCCCTCTTTTGTTTTTGAATTGTTCACAAGCATTGTGAAAATAGGTTTTTTTTTGGTAATGTATTTTGAAATATCCTTAACTAGAAACTGGAGAGACAACATCACCTTTTAGATTTTATTTAACGTTTGGAATTTCCTCTCTCCCTGACTATTTCCTAACACTGAAATTGGCTTAGTTTGGTAGTAGTTTGTTTCTTAATTTCTTATATTTTTGTAAGGATGGACTCCTGTCTGATCTCTGTGTTCTGGAAAAATTTATGTCTGCTTGGTGCCATCAGTTTACACAGCGTGTTTATTTCTTTGGACTGTCTGGTCAAAGATATTAAAATTGTTTCAGATTAAGTATTTCTTCACTTTTACGAATGACTCTTCAGTTTAAAAGGAATGTTTTAAATATTGTTAACTCTTTTACCTAAATAAATAATTCCTAACTGCGTTCAGAATTTGTATTGACTAGAAATTTGAACAGACTTGGTACTTCATGTTTCTGGTATGTCAGTGCATTAACAAGTCTCTGTATTTTTAAGAAAAACACGACCCTTAAAGAATAAAATGTATGGTTTTGTAAGAATTCAGTCTTGTGTTAAACTACTGAAATGGTTATGTAAGTTGGTTGTTTTTTGTTTGTTTTTTTTTCCACTAACAGTTGGGTCTAAGAGTTGTTTTGATTATTCCAGTGTAATCTCTTAACTTTAAATATGAGTGCTAAACTAACTGTAAGAAAGTGACTGATTTTTGAAGGTGATTGTTTCCTGCATTGTATAATCATGTGCCATTACTTGCTGTTAGAATATTTTAATACTTTGCTGAATGTATATAGGCTTATTAAGAAAGGTATATGCCCTGCAATGTAGTGAAATATTATCTCATCATTAACAGGATTATTGCCATGTGTGGAGACTATTACATTGGTGGACGTCGTTTTGCTTCACTTTCGGACCTAATCGGTTATTACAGTCATGTGTCCTGTTTGCTGAAAGGGGAAAAGCTCTTATTTCCAGTAGCACCTCCAGAGGCAAGTCCCAAATCTAAGTGTCATTTCCTTCATTGTTGGTAACTTCAATCACGATTCACAGTTTTCTTTGGAAAAATCATGATAGAAAGTTTACTGTAGTTCTACATAGTCTCAGCATATGTTGAAGTATAAGGAATATAAGAATGCATTCTTACTGATACAAAGTAATGATTAAAATCCCCTAAACTGCTATTTAATGGAAATGTGTAATGAGAGAGCTGGGTATCAGGTTTTGTGTTTATTTCCAAATGCAGTAATAGCTTTGGGACTAAAGAGAGGTAAACAAAAATTGTGCAGTTCTTGGTTAGTAAAGAACACCATGTAATGTAATCTCTACTCTTTTATGGTATTTTGTCTATCTAACAGGATTTCAAAGTGCACATCCTGAAAGTAACTAAAGTTTCTGAAAATAGGGCTTCTTCCACGTGCCCATCTGAAACAATAGGAGTAGTTAAAATAAGCCCGCCTGCCAAACAGAACTTAAGCAAGTGTTTCTGAATGTTAAACTTACAGAGATTTCCATTCTTTAAGTGGAAGAAAGTTTGAAAGTGTACTTTTATGGGAATTATCATACTGGTAGTTTATTTTGAAGATGATAAGCATACATTATCTATCATGCTAGAAATCAAAATAACTCTTGTAGCTAGCTGTATGAATTATACTAGTTCTCAGGGGTTTTGAACTTTGAATATCTAAAATGGGCAAGGGGGATATAAGTGACTGTTCTCCCAGTCTTTTGATTCAGAATAGTGTAACACTGGGGAGAAGGGTTTTACACTAGAAAGAGGGAAAAGTACTACCTTTGCTGTCTTCTCTTAAATTGTAGCCTGTTGAGGACAGAAGGAGAGTTCGAGCAATTTTACCTTACACCAAAGTGCCAGAAACTGATGAAATAAGGTATGTTTTAATGATAGTAGTAGTTGTGAAAGTCTTAAGAGTATTTATAAATACTAATGATTTAAGTATATGTTCATATACAAATACTGTCCAGTTGCATCTTAACACGGTTAGGTTAAAAGGATGATTTCCCTGTTAGAAATAGCAATAACACTTTCAGGACATTTGTTTGTATTAATTGTCAGGAAATTACGTTAGGTTTATTGAAGTAAAATTAGTAATGTTCTCATTTTGAAGTACACTTCATAAAGCCGTACTTTTTTTTTTTTCCAAGAGGGTACGCGTATGAAAAAATCATGTGCAGAAATGCCTTGTGTGACAGTGCGAAATAAATGAGCAAGGCTTCTGTTCAGACTGCCACAGAACGAACAGCAGATAAATAGTTCAAGCCAAACAAGTTCTGACCACTAGACAGAGTGGTCAGAGAATGTGAGCATTGACTGTTTGTAAATGGAAGAATTAATTAATGCTTTCTTTGAAAAAAGAAGAAAGGAGCAATGTTAAAGAAGGTTTGCCTTGTTCAGTGTTCTAGTATTCATTTTCTTACCTGTGCTTAGAAACTTGGTGACTGTTCTTTCTAAGTTCTCTGTCCATAAGATGGAGCAAGAATGATTCTCCGTTCCGTTGCCTTCACATCTTTCCCTCCTTTTGGGAAAACTCTGTGTTGAATAAAATTATAATTTTAAGTGTGTAATCTCCCATAATTTTAAGATACTAAAAAATTACAGAATTGCAGGTATATTTCTCATATTCTTACACTTTCTGTTAATTGTTACACTGTAGTGATTTCTAATCTCTTTAATGAGGCAGACTCAGTTTGATTAAACACACTGATTGAATTGGGAATGGGTTTTGCAATATTAGCCTAAGATACAGAGAAAGGTATATGAGAGCTTTATATCCTCACTGGGATGGAAATTATTTCAAGGCTCACTTGTCAATCCTGTTTAACCTCTTTAAAGGATGCTGTGAGGATATTTATCTTTGAGATTGTTTTCCAGATTAGAAAGTGGTAAGACAGAGAAAGGACTCTCAATTGCATGTTTCAAGTAAGACTTCCTACTATGTATAAGAACAAAAAGATAGATTGAGACCATTAAATACCTACCAACTTGAGAGGAAAAAGCATTTTATTATAGTGCTATCATAACAGAAATTGTAGAAAATTATACGTTCTCTCTCTTGTTTAGGATGAAACTAAAATGCAAAGTTCTGTGCTTGAGTTTTGAGATCCACATGGCTAAAACAGTTACAGTTCTGTTTGTGGCACAACTCAGACATGTTAATGCTTCTTATTTCTGCTTTTCTTGCAGCTAACTGCATGGCTTCTCTGGAAGCTGTTCTGTACTCCCTTTGTAGCACTGTTCTTCATATGTGAGAACATAAAGAGTATTATATTCTAAGATATTTCACAAACTTTTATTATATGATACTCATTTTCACGAAAGGAGTATTATTTTCTTATAGACTATTAAGGGTATCTCTGGTTATTTTGCTTGTGTTTATTAATTGATCCCTCCTGATAAAAGAACAGTATTACTGTCTTTTAATATTGCGTTATTTTTGTTTTATGCATCCTCAGCACACTTTGAATTTGGTGTAACTGAAGTATATACTAGGTGCTAAACATAAATCAAAAGTATAAACTCCTATATAGTAACAGCTTAACTGTGAGGAAAAATACACATCATATGCTGGGGGTATTAATTCATGCCTTAATTCATGTTCACAAACAGATTTTCTCATATATTTTGAGTAAATTGCAATCAAGAATTCATTACATTCATTAAACTTTTTACTATGATTGTATCTCTGATTTAAAATCTTGCTGTAACCCTCTTCAGTTTCCTTAAAGGAGACATGTTTATTGTCCATAATGAACTGGAAGATGGCTGGATGTGGGTTACAAACCTACGGACAGATGAGCAAGGTCTTATTGTGGAAGACCTGGTAGAAGAAGTGGTAAGTAATTTTTATGTTCAAATTTCTTAGATGAATGATTATTTTTTTTTGCAAAATAATATTTAAATAAACCCAAATTAGTAACAGTTAATTGCCAGTTTTTTAGTTATGTACTTTTCTAAACATAGTAATTGGATCTGCTTCGTTTAAAATAGTATAACAAACCTGTAAACCTAATTCAGTATCAAAAAAGCTTATTCACATGCTGTCCCCAGAGAAATACAAATGAATGGTACAGAAAATTCGCTAGGCAGTTTACTAAGCTTTACTGTCCTGGTGAAGGATCTGTTACTTGTTTAATTGCATTTCTTCATATTTGCCAGAATGTAATTTTGCGTTATGGTAGGTTTTTCTCTTTTTTTCTTAAAGATGAATTGTGACGTAAAAATGTATTTGGGCTTGTGTGAGCTTACGAAGCTAACCAGGGGACCTGCAGATAATTCAGTTGCTGTAGGGGGGAACAAGTGGTTTAATATACTTCAGAAGGAGAAAACAGCATTGCTTTAGAGTCAGATATTTTTAATAATATTGTCCTGCATAGTACCTGTGTTTTGCAGTGTTAAAGCAGTGTTACCTGCAGCTAATCACAGACCTGTGTCAAGTTTTGAAAGGCTAAATTGATGTGGCAATTCTAGGCTATTGAACCGTAGACCGATGTATCAGTAGTTAAGTTAATCTTAAGAAAGCTGAGATTTTGAAAACTTACCACCTCTAAAGAAGGACTTGAAACATGCCAAAAGCAATCTTCTGAAATAACATTCTGGCTGAATTTCCACTTAGTGAATGAAGAGGAAATCTTTTCGTAGAACTTCAGTAAGCCTTTTAGTTCAGAAATGTCTCCGGCTTCTGATGTTTTTTTCTGCATAAGGTCTTAACCTGTAAAGTTTGTTGGTTGTTGTTTTGTTTTGTTTTGTGTTCTTTTTTTCCTCTTAAGTGAGCTGTACTGTTGTCATGCACTTAATATGTTAATTTTCTCATTAGGGAAGAGAAGAAGATCCACATGAAGGCAAAATGTAAGGATTTTGGTTTTGTTATTAAAAGCAATCATAACTGTTTGTAAACTTCTGCTATGAAATTTCCCAGCTTTTGGGAAGGTGAACCAAAGACATTTGTTTTTTCATCCCAAGACTGTTTTCTATACTAGCTGCTGAAGATGCATGGATAATTAATATTAAAGAGTCCTGTAATAGGTATGCCTACTGCTAGTGTGTTTTGCAGTGTTGAGATTCTAGATGAGTCCCTGTGTGATCACTTTCAGCCAAGATATGCTCAATGGAGTATTTGTTGAATATAGTGTTTGCCTTAGAGGTAACCTTTACTGAGATCTGCACAACTCTAAATGCTGGAAAGAGAGCAGAGTTCCAATGAGAAAATTATAGTGGACATTTACAGCTGTTCTTTTTAATATTGAATACAATTTAAAAAAATTGACTAAATGAAATAAAGATTTTTTTTTTTTTATACTGAATACAATTTAAGAATCAACAGTGTATTGGTATGTCAAGCTGTTGATAGATTATTTTCAGTAGTAATTGTGAGTGGCAAAAGAAGGTTCAAAAAACTTCCAGTGGCTTTATTATTTCATCTGTCCTCCTGTTTGCTTGCAATATTTTCACCTAGTGCTTTTTCTCTGTTGCCCAATTTGCAGTATCCAAGAAGCTGATGGCTGAAAAAGGCATTTCTCACTATCTTAAGAGGAGAAAGAAAACCTGTGGTGTATTTGTTGTTTGTTTACTGTTTGGTAGTGATCTGCTAGTCAGTTTGGCAGTAGGGGTGCTTTCAAATGTAGGTGTTTTCATTTATTTGCAAACAAGTTGGTAACAGATGCTAGAAGCTTTGATATTGTCTGTTCACAGTTACTTGTGCCACTCAGAGGAATCTCAGGGAGACCATAATTCTTTCAAGCATTCCAGTAGCCAGAAGTTATCCTCTAATGGTAGTATAGGAAGTGAAGTTAGATCTAAAGCTGTTTTCTGATACACAAAAAGGCCATATTTTAGCTTTCCTTTAAAGGACAGAACAAGTTATTAAGTCAAGTTGTTATGTATAGTTGTCTCAGGCTGAAACTGGGCAGAGGCTGCTGAACCTTTCTAGGGCACTGCTTTGATACAGGACTCTGGGAAGGTATAAGGTGTGAGGTCAAAGAAACCTGTATTCAACAGTCTAACAAAGCTAGGTTCTACTTCGACAGCTTCTGGCAAAATTCACTTGGGATTTTTTTTCTGTATGGTCTTTAACCTTGCCTGAGTTATGGTTCAAGTAAATTGCTGTATGAGACTGACTTCAAATAATGCCTGTTAAATTATCTGCTGGTTAGACAGTTTGTTTTAATCTCTAAACATAGTTGGATATGAATGTCAACTCCAAGTATTGGCCATTTGATTGAAATTAATTTATTTACATACCTGTTACTGTTAGTTTTCTTCATGCTGTTGGTAGAACAGAATCATAAGTAGCAAAATCATTATCTATATTTATTAGGTCTTTTTAAATAAAGATTAGTTCATAGGTGACAGAACCTGGATGTCACCAGAGCCAAAAAAAAAAAAAGAGAGGTGGTAGTCTTGCTTTCTAATTTTTCTCTTCATCTTTGTTAAGATGGTACCATGGGAAGATCTCCAAACAAGAGGCTTACAATTTGCTGATGACAGGTACTTGTATTTTTGATTGAAATACTGGGATAGTAATGGATTATTTCATTTATCAGTGTCTTCATGAAAATGCTGTGGAGAATATATGCTTTTATATACTGAAAGGAAATACATTACAAACTTTTTTAGCTCTTTCATAGAGGAACAATTTCTTCAAATGAAAACACCGAGATTTCTAACCCACGCTGCTAAGTAAGATACTTTAAATATTAGAACATGAGTTACGAATTTTTGAAAACTTGTTGTAAAACTTTTTTTGTATGCTTTTGTAAAGAGATGGCAAAGATGTGGCTAGGCCACAACAGATAAACCAGTTTGCATTAATTTCACCAGTTTATTGCTGGTTCATTGAGTTTGAGGTTACTGTTGGGACTTAATTTACAGACTTTGCATTTCTTCAGGTGTGTGATTCTTGCTCATTTATGTGGAAATATATTTGATAAGGGCTCATATGTAACTTCACTAAGAAAAGTAACACCATTATGATATCTTTTCAGTTGGTCAGGTGTGCAGTTTTCTTGTGAGGCCTTCAGATAATACACCTGGTGATTATTCACTTTATTTTCGGACCAGTGAAAATATTCAGCGTTTTAAAATATGTCCAACATCAAACAATCAGTTTATGATGGGGGGCAGATACTACAATAGGTAAGTTTTAGTAGTAAAATGAATTGTGTGTATTTTATACTTGTGTAAAGAACTTGTCTAATTTGCGCCTGATAATTATTTTCTGCTATGATCTTAAGACTGTAGTTTTAATAGTATGCTAACTATTTTCTCCAGCTTGCTTCGTAGTTACTTGTAACTGAGCAAGTTCTTGAAGCTTGCAGAAGCCTGACTGTAGTTTGTTTGTTTTGAAGCAGTTTTCTTTCTTCTGCAAACCATTTTCTTCACGCTATAGATCGTCTATTGTATGGATCATGTGAATCCATTAATTGTGGATCTGTAAGAGAGTGCTGTGTTGTCTTGGAAACTACTGTTTGTATTGATTATTTGAAAAGGGAAAATAAAATTAACATCTTTATCTGAGACATTCAGTAAGATTTTCAAATAATAAAAATGGGTATTTACAAGAAAAGGGAAAAAATACCATAATTGTTTGGAAAAGTCATTAAATTGCATTGTAATATATGTGTTGTACTTGGGTCAGAAGTACAAATCACTTTGTTTAGAGTGAGCAAACTTGGGATACATTTGTTTTGCCATTGGTACAAGAATACAGAAATTTGTACAAAAAGAAAAATAACAAGAGATACATTTTCCCTTTTATGGGAGAAGCTATCAGTACAGATCAATCCTTGATCTTGTTTTTAGAGGAGTTGCAGACGCAAAACTTCTCAGCAGTGAAAACTTGCCTTCCTCTTTTAAAAGAGGCCATTGCCTTGTCTCACAAAATCGGCACTTTTCCAGACTTGCTCACCTAGAACCAGGGCATTCATCATCCCAATAGAGAATTTCTCTCACTTCCAGCTTGGCTTCTGAGTGGGTAGAGATCCAGCAGCTGGTGTGTCTGAGGAAATGTCGAGGTCTCCTAACTAAGAAGTTCAGTGGACTTTTTCATATGACTTCAAATGGACGATGGTGTGAGGCTAAACAATTGGACCCTTATGAACCTTTGCATACCCCTCACCCATGCTGCTTGAATACCTTCTACATTAATCAGTCTGGTCTCCAGACATCCTCATTGAAAACCAAACTAGCTGCAGTGTCATTCTTACATAAAGGTAAATGCTCTTTTGCCCATTCTCTAGCTAAGTGGCTTTTCAGGAGGCTGATAGCGTAGGAGACCCCACCTGAGGTGATGTCAAACTAATTAGTAAATCAGTGGAACTCTTATTAGTTTCAAATGGTTTTGCAGCATTGAATAGTATACCTTCACAGAGTTATTGCGTAAAGTAAGTTACTACTTTATAGTGCTTTATTCACTTGAGGCACGTATATAAATTACATTTATCTAAAGAAGATTCTTTCTATGGTATGGAAAACAAGATTGTAAAGTAGCACTAAGTTATTAAAATCTTTTATATTTTTATGTTTTGTTTACATTTTGTACCTAGTTTGCAGAGATCTTCCTCAGTGTGAAGCAGAATCTGCATAGCTTTAAAAGGCTTCATTTTTATTGTGTGTTCTGGAAAATTACTGCTATAGTCATAGGCTCAAATTCATTCCAACGTAGTATATGCTGCAGCTTGGTAAACTTCCTGGAAGCTCAAACACGTAGTGAAGTATGCAAGGTAAGGAATTGTAAGATAATAAAGATTCAGAATGAAGATGCTAAATACCCAAATTCTGTAGTGTGAGATCTCCTGTAGATGGCAATAAATTAGAAGCAGAAAAAGAACACATTGTGGACTTCTCAGTTGTTACAGAATCACAGAATAGTTTGGGTTGGAAAGGACCTTAAGTTCATCTAGTTCCAACCCCCCTGCCATGGGCAGGGACACCTCGCAATAAACCATCCCACCCAAGGCTCTGTCCAACCTGGCCTTGAACACTGCCAGGGATGGAACATTCACAACTTCCCTGGGCAACCCATTCCAGTGCCTCACCACCCTAACAGGAAAGAACTCCCTCCTTATATCCAATCCAAATTTCCCCTGTTTAAGTTTTAACCTGTTACCCCTTGTCCTATCACTACAGTCCCTAATGAAGAGTCCCTCCCCAGCATCCCTTATAGGACACCTTCAGATACTGGAAGGCTGCTATGAGGTCTCCATGCAGCCTTCTCTTCTCCAGGCTGAACAGACCCAACTTTCTCAGCCAATCTTCATATGGGAGGTGCTCCAGTCCTCTGATCATCCTCGTGGCCCTCCTCTGGACTTGTTCCAACAGTTCCATATCCTTTTTATGTTGAGGACACCAGAACTGCACACAATACTCCAAGTGAGGTCTCCTGAGAGCAGAGTAGAGGGACAGGATCATCTCCTTCGACCTGCTGGTCATGCTCCTTTTGATGCAGCCCAGGATACTATGGTTGGCTTTCTGGGCTGCAAGCACACACTGCCGGCTCATGTTAAGTTTCTCATCGACCAGCACCCCCGAGTCCTTCTCCGCAGGGCTGCTCTGAATCTCTTCTCTGCCCAACCTGTAGCTGTGCCTGGGATTGCTCTGACCTAGGTGTATGTAGGACCTTGCACTTCTCATGGTTACACTTCATGAGGTTGGCATCAGCCCACCTCACAAGCGTGTCAAGGTCCGTCTGGATGGCATTCCTTCCCTCCAGACTGTAAGCTGAACCACAGAGCTTGGTGTCATTGGCAAACTTGCTGAGGGTGCACTCAATCCCACTGTCCATGTCGGCGACGAAGATGTTAAACAAGACCGGTCCTTTGTGTGTGGCCATCCAGCCAGTTCTTTATCCACCAAGTGGTCCATCCATCAAACTGATATCTCTGCAATTTAGAGACAAGGATGTCATGTGGGACAGTGTCGAATGCTTTACACAAGTCCAGATAGATGATGTCAACTGCTCTACCCCTGTCCATCAGTTCTGTAGCCCCATCATAGAAGGCCACCAAATTGGTCAGGGAGCATTTCCCCTTAGTGAAACCATGCTGGCTATCACCAAGCACCTTACTGATTTTCACGTGCCTTAGCATGCCTTCCAGGAGAATCTGCTCCAAGATTTTGCTGGGCACAGAGGTGACACTGACTGGTCTGTAGTTCCTTGGATCATCCATTTTCTCCTTCTTTAAGATGGGAGTTATATTTCCCTTTTTCCAGTCATTGGGAACTTCACCTGACTGCCATGATTTTTCAAATATGATGGACAGTGGCTGAGCAACTTCATTTGCCAGGTTTTTCAGGACGTATGGTTGGATTTCATCAGGTGCCATGGACTTGTGCACATTCAGATTTTTAAGATGGTCTTGAACCAGTTCCTCTCCTACTGTGGGCCCAAGGTCGTCATTCTCACAGTGCCTGCATCTGACTTGGGTGGTGCGGTCAGAGCCTTTGCCAGTGAAGACCGAGGCAAAGAAGTCATTCAGATCCTCAGTCTTTTCCAAGTCCAGGGTAGCCAGCTCTCCTGATAGCTTCCAGAGGGGGCCCACATTGTCCCTAGTCTGTTTTTTATTTGCTGTGTACCTGTAGAATCCCTTCCTGTTATCCTTAATATCCCTAGCCAAGTTTAATTCTAACTGGGCCTTAGCTTTCCTAACCTGATCCCTAGCTTCCCGGACAACATCTCCTGTACTCTTCCCAGGCCGCCTGTCCTTGATTCCACATTTTATAAGCCTCTTTTTTCATTTGAATTTTCCTCAGGAGCTCCTTCCTCATCCAGAGAGGTCTCCTAGCCCTCCTGCTGCACTTACTTCTAGTTGGGATGCAACACTCTTGAGCTTGTAGCAGGTGATCCTTTAATATCAGCCAGGATTCTTGGTTCCCCCTGCCCTCTAGGGGTATAGCCCATGGAACCTTGCTAAGCAGGTTTGTGAAGAAGCCAAAGTCTGCTTTTTGTATTAGTTATTTAAGAGGGACACTGTAAGAAAGAAGTCTTTAAATATGACTAATGTGATTTAGTTGTGTGGAATAAGTGAAAGTGGTGGCTGAAGAACAACAGACACGTCACTGAATCCGGAACAGAGACATACAAAGCATGAATTTATGCAGGCTAATGAAACTGTAAGCATTTCTTGATGCTTATAAGAGATTCGGTTTTGTTGCTTATCTGAAAATGCAGTTTGCCTTCAAGGTGAAAAATTCAGATTTAAGAAGTGCTGCTGCTTGTTTAAATGCATCTGTTTAACAGTTTCCATTGACTGCAAGCTTTTTTTATGTTAACCTGCTTCCATAAATGCTCTCAAAGTATCTCCCTTGAAATCTGATACTATTATTAGACTAAATCATCCCTGGTAATAGAGTGTTTTCAATATTCTTCTACAGTTTTTATGATTGTAATTGAAGCAAAAGGTAAATTGAAATCAGTCTGTTCTTTATTTTTCAGGGTATTGGTCTCAATAAATTGTAGACCAGGATTTTCCATAAAAAAGTAGGAAGCTGAAGACTAGGAAGGAAGGACAATTTTGTTTTATTTTTTGGGTATTTGGAATATCTGGAGGTGGGACTGGAATCATGATAACCTGTATAAGCAATGGTGTATCTGCTTGTATTCAGAATTAATCTGGATGATCATGGGGAAAGAGGTCCTGGGTATATCTCAGGGTTTCATATTCTGTGCTGATGAAGACGACTTGTTTTTTTCCACCAGCCTGTGCTTTTACCACTCTCCATATAAATCTGTGTTAAAATTTCTGTGTGACCATCAGTCTGTGTTTGCAGTCTGTCATACAGAGGTTTGTTTTTATTATTTTGTTCTCTTGTATCAGCTCTGCAGGGCAGCCCACCTGAAGGTCTGAATGTACAGCACCCATGTTGCATACGTATTGGGGGAATTATCTTGACTATGTAACAAAGAAGTCTTTTCTCATGGAATTTAGTAAAGCATTTAGCTTCTGTGATCTTTATGTACTTATTTCACAGATAACAAATTTTTTTTCCATTGATCACCTGCTACAGTTTTATAGAAAAATTGCCAAAGCCATTTCTTGTTGCTTGTGCTGATTCTGGGTGGGATGGAGTTATTTTCTTTCTGTCAGCTAGCATGTGCCATGATTCAGATTTGTGGCTAAAACTGTTGGTAGCACACCAGTGTTTTGGTTCTTGGTGAGCAGAGCTTGCACAGTGTTGAGGCTTTCTCAATTTTCCAGAGAACCTAATTGACCAAAGAGGTAGTGCTCAGTAGTAAAAAATGGAGGGGCTGTTCCGTCTTCCAAGGTGGGTGTTTCTCGGACTGTTTGGGCATCAGTCTGCTTTCCAGGGGTAGTGAATGATTGCTTTTCAATCACTGATGTCCTTCCCCACCCTTCGCTTACTAAACTGTCTTTTATCTTGACACACAGGTTTTGTCACATTTGCTTTTCCTGTTTTCTTCCCTGTCCTGAGGGCAAGGAATGAGCAAGCACTGCA